AGTGTATTCCCTAGTCTCACTCTTTGGAATCGATTTGATAAATAATCTTTTATCAGGGTGGTTGTTGCTTCATCTGCTCCATATTCTTTTAATTTCAAAACAATCAGTTCATGAGGTAAGGTGTCAAAGGCCTTGGACAAGTCCATAGAGACCAGACCGATCAATTTGTTGTTATCAATTTCTTTTTTCCATTGTTCGGTTAGACTAAGAAGTGCTGAGTCGCAGCCGTGATATTTCCTATAAGCAAACACATATTTGTGATAAATTTCTTCAAAATACGGGCTTATTCGGCAATGAACAATTTTTTCGAAAACCTTCGATAAAGCTGGCAGAATCGTTATCGGCCGATAGTTAGTTTTTAATAGGCTGCAGTCTTTTTTGAGAATTGGAGTGACCTCGCCAAGTTTCCACTGTTGTGGTATCTTAGTTGAAGTTAGAACATGATTAATCAGTGTACTAAGAGGGAAGCATAAAACATCTATCGATTCTTTAACTGCTAGTGGAGGGATCCCATCACATCCAGAAACCTTGTTTGGAGCAAGTTTCCTCATTACTTCGTAAACTTCTGTTGGATTAGTGTTGCTTAGCAACACATTCGGCACATCCTATCTAAGTGTATGATTAGTCAGGCATGTGTGCTCCGATAAAGCTGAATGTTCTATTCTGCAAAAAGGGGCCACTTTTTGTTACTCTTTCAACCGATTACCAAACTAACGTTTGGTCTGTCCGATAAACTCGTGATCACAGTCATTGCATGGGATAGTTTAAATAGCGTCGGTTTGTTGTTATTTCGTAACAAGATCCTTAGCTTTGGCAAAAATATGCTCTATAGTCCGAAAAGGTTTTTGAGCAACTTAAACGTTGTGGCTATATGTTCAAAATTCTCTTGATGGGTTCTAAAAGCCTTAGATATCAGACATCTTGCCATGACTTACTTTTTATGTGATTCATTCACTATAGAACAGTCATGACCCGGCGTCTTTCTAAAAATATTTGCCTTATATTTTTCATTATTAATGTAGTTTCATTACTAAACCAAGCATATCTTTTTTGAGTAAAGTTGGTGTGAGCAACTCCTCACTCGATGTCACCGATGTCACTTTTGCTTAATTGCCAAAACATCAGTGATTGATAACACCAACAGTAATCCCTCTAGCCAGACAGACGAACTAATAATCGGTTTTTTATGGTAAATAACGCAGACGCCTGAATGACAACGACCTGAAAGGAATTAGTGGAAGCACCTTCAAACGCATGGAAGAGTTAGAAGAACTGTGAGTAAATATCAGATACTATTGGAGAAGAAATTCCTTGACCTCAAAACAGAACTCTGCATCGTAACAGTTTATCATTTTCCTTTGCTAGATCAAAGTGATTCAAGATCTGTATTACGACTTGTGCTGTGAAGTGCAATGAAAACGGATCAACCAAAGCAGATAATCACATTTTTAATGCAAACATTCTTAATACAAAGAAAATAACTTATAATTTAAACTTTACAAAAAATGTGGAAAAAGACACAATTACAGTATTGCTTTGCATAATGTGGCCATTTGTTAGGTTGTGAATTGAATGTTGCAACTCAGTATTAGAAAAAATGTTTTTATAAAGTAGGAGCATTCCATTTCCAAACCACCTGTTTGTCCTTGGTTTTGCCCATGTTTTTTTTTTTTCATTTTCTTTTAATCTCTCTTTCCCTTCAATGGCAAAAGAAAGGTCAGTTAGAGGCTACTTTGATAGAAATAGCTGGATTTGATACAACTAATTATGTTTCTCTACTTCAACATAGATGGTTGCAAGACAACAACATCAATGAATTACCTCCTGAACTATTTCAAGATCTAGAAAACCTGCAGGAACTGTGAGTTTTTTTGCATATCCTTTCCTCAGAAATTAGCTTACTGACTGCTCAACGCTTTTTTGCTATTCCAAACATTTATTAAAGGCTGAAAGAAATATCAGCCACTTGTAATATTTCATAACTAATTATATTCCCATAAGCATCAAAAACATAACCTACTAATTTAACCATCTCAAAATTTGATCTTTGTTTTTCTAATGATCATTGTAAGATCTGCAGTCTTTCAACAATGAAATCATGCGTGCCATAAGTTTTCCAGTCACTATGGGATATTTTTACCTTATTTTACCTATTTTGATATCTTCTGAGATCAAGGGCTCGATCATTTCTCTAATTATTTCTACCAGAGGAATGATTTTAAGTGAAAGGGGAACCAGCCTACCTCTCCCAACACAAGAGAAGAGAGTTCGACATGCTAGCAAATGTAAATTTGTCAGCTACGAGTTTCTCCTTTTGCTAGAAATATTGACCTTACCAAAATGGATGGGCAATATGTATATACTCGACAGTAACCATTATAGGCAATAAACAAAATGGTGCTATTCATCCTGGTTTTATAGATAAACGGGCGTTACATCATTTGACAAATATTTTGAGACAAACGATTAAACATTCATTTCTCTAAAATAAGTATATTGCCCAGATTTGACTGCAATTAACTTTTTTATAGTTTTTGATGACAAGCCTCTGTTTGTATTTTTTCTTATGAAGTATGAGCTACAGTTTTAATGATAAGGCATTTTTGTCTCATCACTCCTACCAGCTATCTGTCAAATAACAACTTGAAGAATCTACCACACCAACTTTTTAGTAGCCTTTCCAAGCTGATACATCTGTGAGTGAAATGGTTATTTAACAAAGAAGATAATTGGGTAGAACCAAATGATCATTTTTATCATATTGTTTACAAAGGCACAGCTGTAACAGCTCAAACATCATAGAGTTTTCCAGCTTGACTTTGTAAATCTGATCATGTATATGAATAACAGAATGCTACTTTATGCAGCTGATGTGCTTTGTTAAGTAATGCTAAGGTACTTGGAGGTTTAAAAGTTTAAAAGCTTCTGTTTAATAGCAGCTTCAACAACTCCTAGATTTCTTTCTGCTGGATGAAGTACAAGCTTTTAACATATGATTAACCATTCACCTACAGTTGCGCCAGCCAGATAATATTGCTATTAGATAGATAGATAGATAGATAGATAGATAGAAACTTTATTTAAGTGCCAGGAAAATAAGCTAGCCGAGAGGCAAGCCCTCTACTAATAGGGGACACCTACAATTAATAGAATAAAATAATTACTAAGTAATTATTTTATATTTTTGCTAGTAATAATATCAATAGTAATAATTATAGTAATGATGATGAAATAGTAATATAATAGTAATAAACGTAATAACAATAATAATAGTAATGATAATAATGGTAATGATGATGAAAATAATGGTAGTTGTGACTAAGGAAATAGCTTGCATTTGGTTATTATCTTTCTTCTACAGGTGGGGTTGCTATTTTTTTTGTACCTATTTTTCTGCTTTTGTTTTTGTTTTTGTTTTTTTTTAATATTTCACTGCTGTGAAGAGTTTCTATCCCCCCCCCCCCCTGGAAAAAAAGGTCAAAGGTGGATATTTTCTTGACTGGTTTCTCTTTTCATTTTTTAGAAGGGAAACATATTTCATATCATTTTTTCTGCAAAAATGTTGAGAGATGTTCTCATGTTCTAGTTGTTCTTCATTATTGTGTTCTTAGCAAGTTTAATATGCTAGGGTCTTCTTGACCTGGATATTTGAAAACATAAGACTTCTTCCTGGGAATATGTGCTAAAGATTTGGGGGAGATAAACTGAAAAGGGGAGACTACTACACAAGTAATAAGACACTTTTTGAAAGTTTCTCAGCACAAACTGCCAATAATTATTATTCTATGAATCAGTTTAGATGGTAATTCTATCATTAGCAAATTCCTTGTTACTGTGGTGATCTCTTGTAGGGATTTGTCAAACAACGAACTTGGAAATCTGCCACCGCACATCTTCAGAAACATTACAGCGGTAGAATTTCTGTGAGTAAGATTCTTATGGACATTAAAGAGTATATTGAAAATTTTACAATTGGTAAATACAACAGCTTCCTAGATTATGACAACTCTAATTATAATGTACTTTTAGGAGGCAAACATTAGTTTCCTTTAAAATATTATATATGATATTATTGTATTGGAGGATCAAACTACCCAATAAGTTCGTAATTTCTAACAGGAAATGGATCATAAATCATTTTTCAAATTCAGCTTTAAACAATAGACCTCATGAAGGCGCTTGGGAATAAACTTGGGATTTTTCCAGCTTAACCTTGGAAGTATTCTTCTGATGTCTGATGTTTTTCTTTGAAGAGTAAGAAATAACAACTGAGAGCTATTTTATTAGAGAAAGCATTGTCATCGCCTTACCTGAACTATGGTAGTGGCCTAAAAAAAGAAAAAAAAAACCAGCTGTGTTAAAGATATCACTCCACAGCTACATCTGCGTATGTTAGTCTAAACTTTCCATGGTGCTTTCTTCAGGAAATTGGACTACAATAAAATTGAGAGGCTTCATGAAGATCAGTTCCAGGGCTTAGTAAAGTTGATCGAATTGTAAGTACACTCAGAGTTGAAACCTTTTCCCAAGACGAGTGGATTCGCAAACCATATGCAGCTCTGGCAAGGGGCTAACGCTCAAAACGTCAGCTTTTTAAAATTCTTTACGGAGGCCATTTTACATTATCAACTAAGTTGATAACAAAATTACAAGATTATTGTAATGTTAACTCTGTCATCGATTAAGTGTAATATGCCACACCCAATTGCAATCATATTATGTTACTGTATTTTATTATTTATCTTTTATTCCTTTCACCTGTTTAAGATATCTCTCGGAGAACAAAATCGAGGCTTTGCCTGACAAAATTTTTAAAGGCGTCAAAAAGCTTAAAGCTCTGTGAGTACAGTTAATCTCAACTAGAAAAAATTAGAATGCTTGAGGCAATGGAAAGAGTATAATGGAAGCATTTCAAATCTGATATTTTAGTTCACAAATTCTAATATCAAGTAAATAAAAATAAGCTGATCAACAAAGTACTGCTGTAGTGATTTATGTTTGACTAAAAGTATGGTCTTTTATGAACATACTTTTAGCAAGCAAGGTTAGACTTAAGTAAAACGGGAACACCCATGGTTGAGAGCCAGACAGTTTCACAGCAGTTCCATGTAAATTTATGAGGAAACAGACCATCGTGAGACCCTCACTACTTACTCATTGTGAGTTATGTTATTCGTTTCAGAGATATCTTCGGCAATAAGATACAAAACGTTTCCAGCACGACTTTCGCCCATACCCACGAATTGCAATTTTTGTAAGTGTACGGCAAATGAGAGATTTTCATCTATGCTAGTAAACTTAACTGCATAAAATTAATTACAAAGCTGGGCTTTCTTATAAAATATTTAGGGTTCTTGGGTTCTTTTTTTTTTTTTTTTTCCGGTTTTTTTTTTGTGCTTTCTGTTTTTCTTTAACACTAATAAATGAATCTCATTCTTCCAAATACATTTTTTGGAGGAAGCCAAACTGATTTTTTTTTTTAATTGCAGGTTTATGCACTACAACCTGATGGCTGAGCTCCCTAAAGGACTTTTCACCCAGCAGTTGCTGCACATTATCAGAGTGTAAGACTCGGTCCATAATAAAAAATTACTTCAGTCACCCCTCTAAAAAATTGTTTTAATAAGAGTGTATGTTATCAATCAATAAATAATTATTAATTGTTTGCAGATAATTAACCTTTAATGTATCTAGATCACTGAATGCCAATTGTTTTCTATCCGTGTAAGTCTGTTAATATTTCTTCTTTTCTTTTTCGAAATCCAGGACTTTGGACACCAACCTGATGTGCTGCCACCTCGATCTTTTCAGGCAGGATGCCGATTGCGAATATTCTTNGATGACTGCCATGTTCGAATTTGCTTTCGTGTCAGAGCAGGCTGGCAACTTAATTTTGTAATTGTAACGACTGACATAATAAACAATGACCATGGAGACCTACCTAGATTTATAAGAGATTATTCGAAAGTCTTACACAAACTTCTCCGTAAATTTCAAATGTACAGGTCCAAGCTATATTGAAACCTAAACTGAGGAAGTTGTGGTCCAATGTTCGATCTATTTTGTGCAGAGGACAAAATCAAGAAGGTACAGTTTTCCATTATTAAAATAGCAAATTTGACAACAATAATGGTACTTCCCACCTCGAATTAAAAAAAACTTCAAGGTTTAATAAATTTTGTAATGACAAACAAGTTTCCTTTCAATAGTTTGTTCTAAATTTTTTACACCTGAGGCGTACGAAAAGCAATCAGAAATGGGGACAAAGATAGTTTAATAGGGGTCGACCCAATAAGAAATCATTATTTCAGTTCGATTTGTGGAGGTTAGTATCTTCAAAGCCATGTATTGGGAATGTCGAAGCAAATTGAAGCTATTCGCCGAACCCTTTTGAATAAGAATGTGAACGGAAATTTGTAAATAATATTATTATCAAAATATAAAAGAATCAACCTCTGTCTTCAATTTCAAGGTAAGAAGATTAATACAAACCTAACTTGTAGCGGAATGATTTTTATGTAATAAATGATTGGGAAAGTCTGACATGGACTTATTCTCTGTTTTTGGTTGTTTTATAACATAGAAGAAGCAGAAAATGACCAGCAGGGACAGATTGGAAATGAAGATGCACATGCTATCAACGAAGAGGGTAAAAATATAGCTCTTCTCAACGTAATTATACATAAAATATCCCCTCTCTACCTGGGAATTTTTTTGTGTAAATCAAAGAAAAGAAAAGATGGAAAAGTTGTTAGTAATCCTGTTTTTTTTTTCTTTCATCTTCTTCCCCATAGGAGAACATATTGAAATGCAAGTAATAAACCAACACGATATTCCAGAAGTGGAAGCCCCTGAATTGCCTACTCCGCAACCAGGTCAGTGCTCCCTCTGTTTACTTATTTTTAGACACCAATTTGTAAATAGTGAAGTAAAACAATTATATGGGAAACATATTAAGGATATTATTCGACCCGAAAAACTTGCAACCTTGATACTGCTGTTGATGGCTTTGCAACCTAACTCCCTTGGCAGGTACATGTAGTCTAATCATTTAAATCTACCTGAATATTTATTCTTTCAAATTATTATATGATAAATAACTCTAACTTAAAAAAATCCCTTTGCTATGTCGACAGCGATGGAACAAGCCTGTAGAGTGGCTGAAAGTACATCTTCCTCAGGTATAATTACTTGTTAATTGACACAAAACTCGCATTCTTGCAGATGTAAATATGAGCTGTGTAACATAAAAAGTGTATATCCATCGAGAACTCTAATTTATCATGATTACTAGAACTTTAGTGCAAATATTTTTAAGCTTGCATGCGTCCAATTCTGCATATAAACTTGACCGAAGATATAATAGGCCTTTTTAATATCTAGATAACTTTGTAATATATTTCGTCAATTATTAATTAATAGAATATACATATTATTACCGTTGCATTTGAATAGTATCATATTTAAGAAGAAAACACAAAACAGAAGCATCATGACTTGGTTTACTCGACTTTTTCCTTTAAACAGATTATGAGGTTGCTTTTGACATTCGTCCAGCCACTAAAAGGACTATGAAAGGTATAAGGCCTTTTCAATTTTTCATTTTTTTGAAAGAAAATATTCTATATTATAAAACAATGAATCTAGTGATGCCTTGTACCACCCAAATTTTTTAGCTGCTACTACCAAGCTAGCGCATGGAGTACCTGACTGCATTGTTTTTGTTTTGTCTTTTTTTTTATGTCAAACCAACAAGATCGGTATTTTGTATTATTAACCTTATCCTCACCAATCAAATCACAGATTCTAAGTTAGTCTTATGAATGAGTTCGTGTGATTAGCTAGGTATTTCCCACCTTTCTCACTTAACCTAACGCATCATCGCAGTTGAAAAACTTCCAATCGACAAGTCGGCTGTTGTCAGAGAAATGCAATTGATGGTCTTGAGGTGACAAACTAAAGGATATTGGTCAAAATTAGAAGCATTCACCTCAAAAGGGCACGCAAATAAATTTCTTCCCCGAAAATGATCCACGCCAGGTTAAAGCCTTCAAAGGATCAGTATCAGTGTACATGAATTTAACTAAGATAGATGTATAAGTATATTGTGAAATTTAAGGCTCCTCAGTGCTTATTGTTTAGAACTGTCCTTGCTCCCGTTGCTAATTACCTTATATGGGTGAGTAGTTATGTTTATATCTACACGTAGAAAGATTCGAATAAGTTGAGTAATCAGCTTTTGAGCCTTTACGAAACAAGTATCAGTTTAGTCAAATAAAGGGCGCACTTGATATTGCTGCAGTAACCGTTCATCATGGAGAAAGCAAATACCGACGAAAAAGACGAAAAGGAGGTAATTATGTGTCTACACCGATGCAAGGTTCTAATGTTGAAAATTACTTAGTTCTATGAAAGTGCTAATTAACATTGTTAAATATCCTAATGGATCTACAGAAAAAAATTGTAGGTGACTGAAGGAGAGGGTACGTGCTTGTAGAAACCTTTCTTATGACGGACAGTAGTTGTAACTGTAGCAACTGATAGAAGGTTCAAAATATATCGCGATTATTGGACGTTTTAAATATAGAACTTTGATTTAAATAAGATAAAGAGACATGAATTTCAAGGTTGTAAAAAAATTATAAGGGAAAGCGAGTACTAGCTTGATCTTTCATTATTATTATTATTATTATTATTATTATTGCTTTTAAAAAGTTACCGGGCAGTTGCATGTAGGTCAAGGGTATGCACTTATTGCACTAATCCAGGACCGGAGTTTACGGAGAAAATAGTGATAACTGAGATTACAGGCCCTTCAACAAAGATATTAAGAAGTGATAGTAGTTCACAGCTGACTGTTTAAACACTACTTCGAAATTGCGGTTAAGTGCTGTCCCTGGTGCCCCACCCAAAATTCTCGATAGTTTCATGGAATGCAAATAATCAAATTTATATCGTTTTATTAATGCAATCTTTTTAAAACCTTTTTGTGTAGTGCAAGAGGGAAAAAGTAAGCTTGCCCCCGGAAAGCCCACAAGCGAAGGTAAAAAGCAATGAATTTATCTTTTGAACTCCGAATTGTTTAACATATGTTGTATTTACTCCTGCTTACAATGTGTGTTGTTCATAAGCTTGACAGGTGGTTAACTGGGCCAATTTGCTTGTTTAAAAGCGAGCAATGAGTTTACTATGTAGACCGTTTCACAAATTTATTTGACAGAAGTTGTTTTAGTCTACTCGTGAGAGTAAGAGTCCATATAATATATGACATAAATCCAAAACATTACCTTGAAGGCATTCATACTTTATTCTAATTTATAACTTTGCTTTGATACAGCTAGCAAACCTGAGGAGGAGGTGGCGAGTGAAGACATTCCAGGGCCCAGTGACAAAGGTATTC